AAGACTTCGTTCGTGGCCCCCTCCGGATGTTCGACATCTTGATGTGCATGCAATACTTTAATCCTTGACGTTTCTTTTTTTCGGCCGCAATTACAGCGTTCTATTTGATGACAAGGCTATGCGTAATCACGAAATTGTAGTCATAGCAGCCGTACCAACGAATTCACGACAGCTGTGAGAAGTTCGAGCGCCCATGAAATCGTCATTCATGATCCCATGGTAGTTTCCGAGTATCTCACCCACGTGATACGGGTCAGTCGTGTGGTTCGCTCATTTCAATAGTCGCGAAAGTGACGGTACGTTTTTGCCCGGAAGCGCAATAGGGGCCAGTTTCTGGGGCTTTTCGGGCTTTACTAATTTGCGCTGTGTCACCCTCTTCCTCTTATTGTGTCGAGGCCTGGTATGGGGGATACGAAGAACTTTAAGTCCGCAGTTAGTGGTGGCTTTCGCTTTACTGCACATTCTGGGTGCATATGCAGCCGCTTTAGTTGGCTTATTGTGAGCTTCGAGACGCGTATCGTTTTGGTGGTCGGCCGACGGCAACACTACTTGGACCTTTTGCTTTCCCGTGCTGATATTGACACGCACACACCGACATGTGAAGCAGACACCATTCCATGTATGTGCCTGCACTCCGGTGCCTGGTCCCTTTGTCCATCGCTAAATTTGTTTGTGGCTCCCATCACCCGTCTGAAGGTGCATTTGGCGTTTCATCTGCGGATAAAATCCATCGTATCAATAAGTTCTGTGGGCTCAATTTCCCGATGCGGCATCAGATAAATAGGAATTGTCGGATTCGTCTTCCTCTACTGGCGGAGTCGTTGTATCTGATATCGATCTAGCTCCAACACCTTCACGCAGTCCACGTTGAACCTGTTCCTTCCAGGCCTGCAGTGCTGTGCAGAAAGCAGGACTCGACAGACCTGAGAGACGCTCCATCACGGGCTCGAATACTGCTTTTGCATTGCAGTACTTCTCCTCGGTTGACATAACAACAACATTTGCTCAATCGCGGCGACGCAGCTTCACGTAGATGATTCGGCGTTTCGATTTAACGGGCAGTCTTGTCGTTTTGGTATCTCCTAGCTCTCCTTTCACCTGTGTTGCTTCGCGTGTTGCTTCGTGTGTTGCTTCGTGTGTTGCACGACTCGGTTGTGTAGCGTCCTGTGTTGCACTACTCAGTTGTGTTGCAGATAATGTTGAGACAGAACCATGCGGCTGGACCGCGTCGAAGGCATCACTGGCTACTTTCATCGAAGTTCGAACAACCTGGAGGGAATAGATACCAGCTTGAAACGCCTTTTTCATTGCCGCCATTTCCAGCATGTCCCAGCGTGGAGCTATCGTCAATACCGGGAGATACTCGAACCGGTGAACGCAGTCAGCAATGTACATCAAGTGTTGACACGGGAGGTGATTACTTCGATAGAATAGGAATGTACACACCCACTGATAGTCATTGCAGCGATAAGTGCGCCTCTGCGTAAACAACACCACTCTCCCACTTCCACGTTTTCTTTTTTGTACGTAGCTTCCGCCAGATATACCATGAAGTGCTCTCACTGAGTGCGCACTTTTGTAAACGAAGCATCACTCAGGTGTTTTGGCACAACTATCAGGAAGTCTGGGACAGAGTCAGGTTGCCGCGAAGTCACCGAGTGCCTGCGAATTGAAGCAAGTAGCTGTCGAATAACTGTCGTTTAATGAACTAGAAGCCCCCCAATCGTCGCATCAATACGGGGCCCTTTACCGAGGAGCAGCTTCACCTAATTTCAGTTGGACTCGATTCGATTGGTGGTGGTATTGCCTGCAGAGAAGTACATCCCGCGGAGATAATTTGCCCACATCGAATCGCACGTTTTATAATCCCGCAAAAAAAGCAGGTAGCTTTAGGAACTTCTCCTCGCATGTTCTTGTGAATGCTGCCAACTCTGAATCGAACGCTATCTGCGTATTGCTACATTTCGCACAACATATTTAGCAACACAACAAATCAACATATTAAGCAACATTTCAAAATCAACACATGAAGCAGCACACAGAATAGTACCAGTAGATTAGCTTTGCAAACGCGTCCTCTATCCTGTCGCGCTGTGACATTGTCAGATCAACTTGGGACGATGGGGCACTTTCTCCAGTACATGAGCGTGTGAAATTGGCACAGAATATCCTGG